GTTCAAAATAACGAACATATTGTGCTACCATGGTGGACTACCATCATCATGGATTTGTCAACTTGAATGGCCCGTATTGGAAGTACCTAGATGATATACAATACCGCTCTCAGAACGAGCAAAATTTCCGTGAATGTTGCGGAAATCCCGGAACGCGAAGGACCACGAAATTTTCGGAATTTCGCGACATTCCGGGAATTTCGCGGAATTTTTGGAATATCGCCATAACTTCCTTCGGAATGCATAAATTCTGGATCTGACACAAGGGTTATACTCAGCTCATTAAGGCGAGTCTTTTGGTACCTTGTTTTATCGTAATTCTCTAATTACAGGACACGAATGTTGTGTTCACCTCCCCTCTCCCAAAATGCAAAATTCATCTCAGACCGTGCACCAATCGTGCCCCGAGAATTACGGTAAGGCAAGGTACCAAAAGATTCGCCTTAATGAGCTGAGTATAACCCTTGTTTCAGATCCAGAATTTATGCATTCCGAAGGAAGTTATGGCGATATTCCGAAAATTCCGCAAAATTCCGAAAATTTCGCGGACCTTCGCGGAATTCCGGGATTTCCGCGACATTCACGGAAATTTTGCACGTTCTGAGAGCGGTATTGTACTTAAACCACGTGTACCTACGCTTCCAATTCAGGTACCTAACGCTTCCACTTGCTTCGTCTTTGAGCAACAACGCAAATAGGATTGCGATTGAAGCTTCAAACAATGCAGACTATGTAGTTTAGATGCAAGACCTCGATCCTAGGTGATTCGCATAAGAATCTCCACCTAACTTACTGATTGACTGAGAAGAAGTAAATATAGGTTTCGCTGGAGAAGCGTGATCAGCTGGTGTGGGTAGTGATAAAAAAATCAAAAATGTAACCAGCCGGGCTAACAACACAGTACACGGAAATCTTATTAAACATCCAAATGCCAGATAATCATACTGTGTGAAGCACTGAGCCATTAATTTTTCGGTGTAAGGCATGAGACGAAACGGCCATAAATCCATAAACTTAAAGTTGTTCGAACAATATAGAAAACAACTGAATTAATCATTTTGAGCATCAACACAACTATGATTGAAAATAACTCTTAATAGCTTTTAGAAATTTTGCAAACCTCTTTTGAAAGCTGAACTATATTTAGCCGATAGCAATTTGGAAGGTTATTTTTTAAAGCAGCATGCACTATGACAGAACAAAAAGTTGAAAAGTCTCGTACAGAGCATTCGCCAAGTTTGGGGTAATGAAGATTGAAACTTCATACTCTGCTAATCACTGGTCTGAACACGCACAAGTCCTAGTCGCGAGGTCAATTTCTTAGCACAGAATGCCAAAACGAAATGCCGAATCAACAACTACACGCCGTTGTTTCAAATTTTTAGCCTAATGAAGTTAAGTCGTTTATCGTAACCAGCGATGGATGTTAATTTTCTAGAGTACAACATTGAAAAACAGACCATTCGAGTAAAAGTGAAGCTTGATATTCATTTTTCTGACACAATCCACACTCAAGAACAATACTCAAAATGTGGAAGCATACGAATCCACACACAATACATCATTTTCATTTTTTTCGAGTAGTTACGACATATCCAGCAAGTGCATATATGGATGACTGCATATGTAAAAGTATTTTTGTTATGGCAAATCCTCGCCTTACTGTGTATAAGATTGTTTCGTTTAGTTCTTCTAAATAATTTTGCACATGCCCTATGAGTATGATTTGATAGCTGTTGACACATTAATCTACTCATTTTATATATACACATCAGGAGAAAAGTTCTGAAGCAAATAGGAAAAAATCTTTACAAGACTTTTAGAGTTAAAAGTTTTTAAGAAGGTGTCTTGATTTACAAGTGAAAACAAATTACTTGCGCAATCTTATAAACTATGCAAACTAGCCACAGCTTCCCTCTGCCTTCTCGCTCCGTCACTGTATCCACTGTTGACATTGTAAGAGGAGCGCATTGCGAAATGCAAAAAATTGCTAACGCGTGCGGAAAAGTACTTGAAGAGTGTATGAACTTGTGGCTTGTTTCAAATTACCTATTATGGTGAACGCCTCTTCAATATGAAATCGTCAAACACATTTGAAAAATTTATGAACTGTACCATCCAAAAACTGCTAACGCTGCGGAAAAGTACTCAAAGAATGTATGAACTTGTGGCTTGTTGTTTCAAATTTCAATATGTAAATGTCAAACACATTAAATTTTATCTTATGAGCTGTCCTATTCAACCAGAATTGAACTTTAGTCCTAGCTGGTCTTGGCCGCTCCTCATACCACAAAGCCACTCGTCCCCTTGGTTTTGGCATCATATTAAGTCGGTGCAAAAGTTTTGTCGGTTTTTCCAATCCATCGGCAAACACGCTAGAATGAAGATAAGCTAACACTTCAAAATGTATCCAGTGCAGAATTTCTTCCTCTTTCCAGCTGTCAAACCCCCGTTGTGTTTTGTTGCGAGAGTGACGAGATATTTGCTGGAAATTACAACCACTCGTTTTTGCCAATTCCCACTTTCGCTCATTTTCAGAATTTTTATGTGAGACTTTCGGAGGATCATTAATAACCAGCAAAAGGCAAACCTTTTGCCAACTTACGCAATTTTTTGTAACCCTACGGCTTGTCTTTCAAAATTTCTACGATTTATTTTGTGACCAAATTTTACATTCAGGCTATGTTAACCTCGTAGAACATAAAATGTTAAACACTTCAGTCACCACTCGATGCAAACTTTTCTCCTCTTTCTAACACTTTTCTTTTTTCACCAAGATAGGCGAAATTTGTGGGGGAAAATCGCAGTATTTCGCAATTTCGAAGTGCGCACTGACGTAACCTGTGTTTCAAAATCTTCATGTTTCAAAGCGAAAATCGCTCATTTAGTAGCCGTAGTAATAATTCTGTGTTAAAACCTCAGTTTTCTGTAGGTTTTGCAGTGTTTGGTGCAATAACAAGTTTGGCGATTTTTCCAAAACACAAGACCTTTAGAAAATTATTTGGCAAGAGTCTGAAGCAGCTGAAAAAAGAAAAAATTGCATAAGTTGGCAAAAGGTTTGTCCTATCTGGTGGTTATTAGGGCTCCTCCGAACATCTCATACAAAAATTTTGAAAATTAGCGAAATTTGGGCATGGTGAAAACGAGTGTCGTGATTTCCAGCAAATATCTTTCACTCTCGCAACAAAACACAATGGAGGTCTGGCAGCTGGAAAGAGGAAGAAATTCTGCATCGGATTCATTTTCAAATGTTAGTTTATCTTCATTCTAACGTGTTTGCCGATGGAGTGAAAAAACTAACAAGACGAAACTCAAAGACCTAATACTTTGAGTAAACCATGAACTAGGCCTATAGGCTCAAAATCTAGGGCGGCTTTGCTCTATCAAAAAAGTGCTCTATTTGCGCTTTAGTGTTTGAAACCTCAAAATTTGGTATCTTTGATAAAAAGCAAAATTGATATTTTTCTTTTGAAGCTCTTGAATTAGTGCATACAAGGAAGCGCTTTACAACTTGCCTATAAATGCAAGGGTGCGTAGCAAGTCTTACCCAGGCAGCCGCCTGGTGCCGCAGCCAGCCGCCAGAGCTGGCACCAGCGTCGCGGCTGAGCTACCGTAAGCTCGCTCTCGTCGTCCGCAACCTCTCGCAGAGAGATTTTAGCAGCAGCCTCGCACCTCTCGCGCTGAGGTGCGAGAATTCCCTCAGAGGTCGCGCTGCTTGCCACATATCATATATCGATCAAGACAGCGGAAAATTTGCAGTTTATTAGTAATAACATTACAAAAAATATAAAAAAACAAAAAAAGTTAAATAAATAAATTTATAGATGATTATAAAATTAAATTAAAGGCATGATATCGTGGAGTAAGTTCATAAAAAACATAAAATAGATTATTGAATGGTTTTTTGGCACAATTCGTTGTGACCTTTGGGGCAGAAGACTTCTAACACCAACTAAGTCAGATATTAGAAAAAGTGTGCCACATATGGAGGTATAAAAGATGAAATGATGCTGAGCAGCTAAGATTCGAGATGTCAAACTCTCAGCTTTACAGCCTTCAGTCTGAGCATCTTGCTCAAATTACCTATGTAGAAAATCCATCGCTTTTGGAGGTAATTTTTGATTTTTTGCTTGTTACCGAATCTTTTTGAAAATCTATCAATCCCAGAATCCGCTACCTGCTACAAGCCAGCTCTACTCTTCAGCCGATGAAAGGTACTCTTCAACCGCTGATATTTTCTAGTCCTATGCATTTGAAAAAAAATTTCAGCATCCTCGAAGCGTGAAGCCATTACGAAAGAAGGATGTGTTGCGCCGAAATAAAATTATTGATGCGATGCGCAGCTTTAGAGAAGAATATGAGACAGGAAATTACATACCAACAATAAATAGTTTTTGTATTAAAATGTCGAAATTTGTCACAGAGAAAACCATTTGACAGCAGTGCGAATGTAAAATTGTAAATTTGATTGTGATTTTCATTTCTGATTTTTTGTGTTGTTTTTTTATTTATTTAACTTTTTTTTTGTTTTTGTATATTTTTTAAATGTATATTACTAATAAACTACAAATTTTCCGCAGTGTTGATCGATATATAATATGTGGCAGTAGCTCGACCTCTGAGGGAATTCTCGCACCTCAGCGCGATGAGGTGCGAGGCTGCTCGAAAATCTCTCTGCGAGAGACTGCGGATGACGAGGGCGCGCTTACGGTAGCTTAGCCGCGACGCTGGTGCCAGCTCTGGCGGCTGGCTGCGGCACCAGGCGGCTGCCTGGGTAACACTTGCACGCCTCCCTAAATGCAAAACTCTTTACATAGCCATTACTGACATAGTCGAAGTAACGCAATGGAAGATGTCTATGTTTGCTAATATGCGAAGACTAGACCAAAGCGTTTCACCGAATCGAGCACTTTCTCTCAAATCCCCCATTATAACAAATCCTACGCCTAAAAATTGTCAAATAAATTGTTTCCTTTAGATCTATCATATTTATTTTGCACATGCACTACGAGTACAACTTGAGAGCTGTTGGCGTCGATGCAACTCATTTCCCGTACCTCTCTTACGGAAATTGTATGGGACTGGATTGCGCACATCCAGGAGCCGAGGTAAACCGGTGAACTTACAGATTTGAAAAGTTTGCAAGTATTTGATAGTAATTTTACAAGCAAGACTAAGCCCATTCGGATTTAACTTCTTTCGCATGTGTCGCAGTAAAATTTTACATATATTTCAATTTTAGGTGGAGTTACTGAAGATGTGTTTGCAGTCAATCAATGCCACATTGACAGTAAACCCAACAACAATGAACACCGTAGCGATGTTGAAAATGGAAATGTTGAATGTTAGCCTTCTGTGACATATTACTGATCTCAACTTTTTCAGATAGAAAATGGAAGCGCAGACATTACTCTTAGGACCATCAATCAGGAAGACCCGCGACAAGAGCAGGTGGTACATGCCGTCACAAGATTGACTTGTCGATAATTGTCTCTTGCAGGTGGATTTCACGGTGCCTATCGGTATTCTTTATCATGGATACTTTATCAAAGAAAGCACTCAGATGGTAGTTGGTGATTATCTCGGTGATGCATTTCCTAATGCCGTAAGTTATAGCTCGTTGCCAAGAGAGCCACCCGTGAACTTGTTGTCTACCTTATCGTGAAAACATCTACTGCTTGAACTAGGCGGGCCCATGTCTGACGAATCAATAAGTTATCGATGTAAAAATTTTTTGGATAACAAGATAAAGTTTATGGGCTTTATTGTGAGTCACGCACTTTTGTTAAGATAATCATAGTCTAACGTTTCGGCAACAATGGTTTTCTCAAAAATTTTCTTGGCCCATATCCTTTTTTGGACGTTAAGGTGAAAAAGGCTATGAATCGAGGATTGCTGCTCACAAAGCGCTTGCACTGCACTGTGCACTCAAAACAGTGCTCCGCATGACCAGCTTGCGGGCTTGAGGGTCGCAGGCTTGAAAAAGGTCTTGCATGAAAACCCGCTAGTATTGATTTGAAAAAGAAAAAGCACAGCTCTAAAACGGAGTTATGACGCGTTACGTTTGACGTAGTTAGTCTTTGCATTGTAACATGTCTTATTTGTCAAACTGTGCTTCTACAAGAAATGCGATAATAAGTGAAAGGGTTTTTTTTTTTCTGTTTCTCCTGTACGATGGTGTTTTTGTTTTTTATGAACTTATTTTTGCGTTTTCATGAGAGAATGAAGCGCACCACGGTAATTTTTGAATTGCTATAAATAATTTCGCAGGTTTTTCGAAACTTACACGTGTGTTAAGGGTTTGCAAGCTGTTCGCACTATTTTCAAAATTATAGCTTTCTTTGATCTAAATAGATAGTACTTTCGCGTAATGAGGAGATTATGTAGAATCCGAAGGTATCTCGAATTCTCTCCGTGTAGAGGTCACTCGAGTTTTGATTAGTTCAAGCAAGCTCACCATGAAAGCGGGTACTTTTCCGTTGAGCGACACATCTTTTCAGTAAAAGGATATTGCTTTTTTCCTTGTACCGAGTTCAATTAATTTCACAGGAAGCAGTGGCAATCTTCTGCCACTTCACAAAAAAATTTACATGTCATCTACATGTTAAACAGGTTTTGCCAAAAGTTTGCATTACCTACCAATGTACCCTCGATATCAACCCATATGTCTTCCCTCAACATGACGTGGATTACATGGACTGGTGAGGCGCCGCCTCGCTTCGAGCTTGCGCCACATTTGACGTGGCGCTTAAAACAACGTGACGCAGGCTTTCCCACGTTGTTTTTGCTGCCACACCACGCCAAAGATACACCCGCAACGTGGCGCAAGCCCGAAGCAAGGCGGTCCACGTAATCCGCGTCATGTTGAGGGAAGACATATGGGTTGATATCGAGGGTAAATTCAATCTGTTTTGTAATTATTAGAAATGACCCCATTTTTACTAAACATTCAGAAGTGAGCACTTATATCATAAGAATGAAATTCTGCGTTCAATGAACCCGCTGGATTTGTCATCGCCTGTTTTGAATGAGCCGAATCTGTGCTAATCGAATGCAAAGGAATTCAGAAAGTTAAGTGATCCAACGAAAAGTTAAAACTGAGCACTAAAAGTAACTGACATCTCTCTGTAATTTTACAAAGCTTACTGGCAGCATCCGTTCCCGATAGTCCTCAAAGAAACATAATCATTTCATTAACACACTTTTCTTTGGCATATGACTTTCGTGGGAAATTCAACTCAAAATATAGCTTTACTCAGTAATTACTGCTCATACTAGAATAAGAAGAAAAGAGTTCGCCTTTGATCTAGACTTACGTGTCAGGTATTGCTCTTGATGGTCATAGCTGGTTTCTGTGTAAGCTGCTTCCTTCGTCTCGCTACAAAACTGCTCACAAAAGATTCTTCTTCAGTATTTAACTTTGTATTCTTTGCTTTTGCTGGTAAGTGTTATATCTAACAAGGAAAGGATACTTGGTGACCGTGGCCTTTTGAAATGAAACGTATACCATCAAATGCATCTTGAAGCGCAGATTTCAAATCTGTTTTCCTTATCTGCTGTGCGCTCTTTTGAAAGATGTTATGAACATTTCTTTTTACCAAAATTTGCACTGTTTTTGATGCAGAATTCACCAATATCGTTAAAATGTTCGCTTACGCACTACAAAAGAGCGTATAGATAAAGTAAAGCTTCCCGTTTAAGTTCAGGAAAACTGTCACCAGTCCAAAAAATCTGGATACTGACGACTTTGACTGCCTAAATCTCGCGAAATCAATATGAAAAAGTCCATCTCTTCGTTCAGGGAGTCGCACAGCAGATAATGAACAAAGATTTAGAATCAGCGTTCCAAGACGCACCTACTGGTATACATCTCATTGCAAAAGGCCATGGTCACCGAGTATCCTTCCCTCGTAAGCGCTCTTTTCACTGAACAAATTTTCTCAGATCAACCTAAATCCTCCTAGCCTTCAGGTTTTTTCAAAAACTCGAATCTGAATCCAGAGCCAGTTTCTTCACGAATACTTGTCATAGTATGGTTGCTGTTTAGTTTCATATTGACGGAATATTTTGGGGTCAGAGCGTTACTTTTTAGAGGTTTTCCCTTTCATAAGTGTAATGAGAACAGTCGCTTTCATACTACTTTTCTTTGAAGCGATCGTTTCAGGCGAAACTCCGTAGTATTCTTTTGCTGACGCATTATCGTGGAGCACTTTTTGATGATTTAGATAAAGCAATGGACGCTATGGAGTATCAAGTAATTACTTCATTTGTACGATACATAGATCTCTCGTCTTTATTCAGGGATGGAAAATGGTAATCAATGATCCATTGACACTCGATCACTGTAGCGGTGATCAGTGTACTAGACTTCACGAACTTAAGAAAAGGTAAGGATTGTTGTCAAGTTATCTGAACAATTATATGGATAACTAGCTGGCTTACCCGGCTCCGCCGTATGTTCCGAATAGAAAATTCCATTTCTTAACCGATCCGGACCAAACTTGGCACACATACCCTTCGGGCCCCGGCGGGTGTCACAGTCCACTTTTCGTTATCGATCGATGTCGATTTTATCGATTTTTTGCAAAATTTGAGCTACGGGGCTGGGAGTTGGCAGAGGGGTGTAATCGAGCATGCTGATTACGAATACAATATTAGTTTTCGAAACCGTGCAAACCCCCACGGGGTTAATCAGCATGCTCGATTACCCCTCTGTGCCAAATCCCAGCCCCGTAGCTCAAACTTTGCAAAAAAATCGATAAAATCTATAAAAGTAATGCACGATTTTAAAAACTAATATTGTATTCGGAATCCCCATGCTCACTTACCCCCCTGTGCCAACTCCCAGCCCCGTAGCTCAAATTTTGCAAAAAATCGATAAAATCGATATCGATCGATACGAAAAGTAGCCTATGACACCCGCCGAGGCCCGAAGTGTATGTGTGCCAAGTTTGGTCCCGATCGGTTCAGAAATGGAATTTTCTATTCGGAACATACGTACACACATACAGACAGACAGACAGACATACAGACAGACAAACAGACATTCAGCTTTATATATAAGACTAGCGACCCTACGGGTCGCTAGTAGGTGGGTGGGGGCAGATACATTGATATCTGCCATTAATTAACTAAAATCCCAAGAAAGAGAATTTTCATCTTCCCAGCAACCTTTCGCATGTTGTGAGTAGTAGAAACAAAACAATATGCTCTTAGGAAAAGAAGCTACTACCACTGACTATGCGCAAAGCATCTTTGCTGTTTTCTTGCACATACCTTTGCCCAGATACCACAGCTCTTAAACAAGGAAGCTACCTCGAAGCACCTGTTTAGAGCAGCTGATTCATCCCAAAACTCAGATTGATTTCCAGGAAAGTGCCATGTTAAAGGAAGCGTCAATTTATGTCTACCAGCAGCCAAAAACTCAGATATGTCTGTAAAAACGAAGCAGCATTTTCTTCGATGATGTCTTGCCAGTGAACGGGCTCATTTCTTGAACAGAAGCTGGCCCAGCGCCTTCTTTTGAAGGACAATCTTACCGAAACTGTCCTGTCGTATAAAACCCTAGTTCTTTCCTTCCCTCGAAACCAAGCTCCTTATGCTTCCGCTTCTAGCAGAAGTATGGTTGAGAAGAAGGGTAATTTTTCCAGCAAGTTTCTGTATAATCAAATATTGACACCTAAAAACTTTTAGCGCAAATATCTTGCTGCCTGAGCCCTGAGTCTTTTCTTCCCTCGAGACCAAGCCCCCTGCTTTTTGCTTCTAGGGACAAAAGTGTGGTTTTTGCAAAATTCAGAAGGCCAGAATTTTCAGCAAAGATGATTTCCTATCGCAAGAAGCTCATGGGTCTGTCTTTCCCTCGAGACCACTCTTCTGTTTTCAGAGGCAGAAGTCTGGTTTTTGCAGAGTGGAATGGCCACAAGTGAATTTTAAACAAGTTTCTGTAGAATACACATTGACACCCAGAAGTTTTCAGCAAAAATATCTTGCTGGCTGAGCTTATGAGTCTCTTTTCCTCGAAACCAAGCTATCTGTGCTGTTTTACTTTTAGGGGTAGAAGTATGGATTTTGCAGAGTAGAATGGCCACGAATTTCAAACAAGTTTCTGTATAATGAAACATCGACAACCATAAACTTCTGGCGAAAACATCTTGTTGCCTGGGGCCATAATCCTTACTTCCCTCGAGACCAAGCTCCTTGTGCTTTTTTGCTTTTTGGGCCAGAAGTGTGGTTTTTGAGTTTTATGGTTTTTTGCGAAGTTTGGGAGTCAAAAGTCTTAGAAAATGTCCTGTCGGATGAAACTCATGGGTCTGTCCTTCCCTAAAGACTAAATCCCTGTGCTTTTCTGCTTTCAGGGCAGAAGTACTGGTTTTTGCGAAGTAGAAGGGGCCGAAAGTTTCTGTGAAAATGTCCTGTTGCAAAAAGCTCATGAGTCTTTCCTTTCTTAGAGACTAAATTCCCTGTGCTTTTCTGCTTTTAGGGGCAGAAGCACTGGTTTTTGCGAAGTCTAGGAGGTCAGACGCCTTAGCGAAAATGTTTGTCGCATGAAGCCTCATGGTTCTGCCATTTTCTCGAGACCAAGCTATCTGTACTGTTTTGCTTTTAGAGGAAGAAGTGTGGTTTTTGCAAAGTAGAATGGCCAGAAGTAAATTTTAAGCAAGTTTTTGTATGATTATTGACACCCATAAACTTCTGGCGAAAATACCTTGTTGCCTGAAGCCATGATTCTTTCTTCCCCCGAGACTGGATTTTCTGTGCTTTTCTGCGTTTAGGAGCAGAAGTACTGGTTTTTGCGAAGTCTAGGGGGTCAAACGTCTTAGCGAGACTGTCCTGTCGGATGAAGCTCATGGGTCTGTCCTTCCCTCGAGAGCACTTTGTGATTTTTTACTTTTAGAGGCAGAAGTATGGTTTTTTTGCAAAGTAGAAGGGCCAGAAGTAAACTTTGAAGCAAGTTTCAGTATGAATAAACATTGACACCCAGAAAGTTTCAGCGAGAGTATCTTGCTGGCTGAGCTTATTAGTGTTTTCTCCTCGAGACCAAAAGGGCCAGAAGTAAATTTCAAGCAAGTTCTGTATAATCATTGACACCCAGGAACTTCTGGCGAAAGTCTCTTGCTGCCTGAGGCCATAATCCTTTCTTCCATCGAGACCAAGCTCCCTGTCTTTCTGCTTTTAGGGCCAAATGTGTGGTTTTTGAGTTTTGTGGTTTTTGCAGTTTGAGAGCCAAAAGTTTCAGTGAAAATGCCGTGCCGGATGAAGCTCATGGGTCTGTCCTTCCCCAGAGACAACTTTTCTGCTTTCAGAGGTAGAAGTGTGGTTTTTGCAGAGTGGAAGGGACAGAAGTGAATTTAAGGAAATTTCTGTATAATTAGATATTGATTCGTAGAAATTCTTAGCGAAAATATCGGTACTTTTCCGTTATCCGGACCCATTTCTTCGAAAGGCTCCCATGTGATACTTTCTTTAGCCTAAGAATAATTTTTTATAGTTTCTACGAGGACGGCCTCCTTGCCACGTGTCACAAAAAAAACTGACACTTCTCGGTTCATTCTGACATGATTTTTTTTCGAAACCATTTTCGGGGAGGTAAAAGAGAACTTGTAGTCACTTTTGATCTGTTTAATTGTTTTACATAAAAGCAAAACAATCATGAATTTATTTTAGATCATCTTGCTTGCTTTCAGTAGTGATTTGATAATGCTTTTCTCTTCAAACCCTTTTGGCCATGCGATTTTAGCCAGAAAAGACTATAAATGAAGCTTGAAGTCCCTTGCTGCCGCTTATTTTGCCTCTTAAATGATTTCATCTCACGCACTTCTCTATTCCGAGCAAGTCTAGTCTGTTCATCGATAAGAGTATGTCGTTATTATTATGACAATGTTCACTTTGAAATGCTTGATCGAAATGAGGTTGAAATTGACTACAAAACAGATTGAACGAAAACTCTTAGTAAAACCTGTTAAGCATGCAAATGACATTTTAGATTTTTTGACACGTGGCAGAAGGTTGGCACTCCTCCCTGTAAAGCTGAGACCAAATATGGTACAAGGATGGAAGCAATGCTCTTGAAAAAATGGGTCCAGACAACGGAAAAGTACCGAAATATCTTGCCGCCAGTGGCGGTCGCAGGATTTCGGACCGGGGGAGGGGGGGGGGGCGCGACAAAAATTTTTTTCAAATGAAGGTGCGTGGCGTTAGCCGCGCACTCCGAAAAATTTTTTGGGGTGCTCTAAATTTTTGCGGGTCCCCAACCCCTAAAATCTGAGAAAAGGGGGCGTGGCGTCAGCTACGCCTCCGAAAAAATTTTTTTTATAAAGCTAATTTGAATTTTTAAAAAATTTTAAAGATTATTTCACTTATTTACATAAATGAACAAGTCGTTTGCACATTTTTATAACCCATATAGGTAAGTTTCAAAAATTTCGCGACCCATTCTCGGGGGGGGGGGGGGCGCCCTCCCCCCGCCCCCCCCCCCTCGGTCCGCCACTGCTTGCCGCCTCAGTTTATAAGCATTTTCTTCCCTCGAAACCAGGCTCTATGTGCTTTTCTAATTTTGGGGGCAGAAGTAGGATTCAAAAAGGTAAAGGCGGGCCAAAGTGAATTTATAACAACTTTAGGTAAATTTACCGACTTCGTCATTCCGAGTGTGATTATAGAATTATCAGCATGCTCATTTACCCCCGGATTAGTGCCATGTGAGCCTCGTAGCTTCAGCTTTGAAAAAAAGATGAAATCAATAAAAGTAATGGAAATTCTCAAAAACTATCATTGCAGTGAGCGTGCTCACATACAACTTTGTGCAATGTCAGCCGTGTAGCTCTAATTTTACAAAGAATAGAAAAATCGACAAAAATAATAGGTTCTTCTAAGAACACTTATTACAATCGTAATCGGCATGCTCGCTTTCTCCCATGTGCCAAATCCCAGTTTCTGGCTTAAACTTTGCAAAAAATCGATAAAGCCAGTGAAGGTAAGTGACAAGCTGTAAAATAAGAATGTGCTCGTGAGCAGCATGCTCAATTACCTGCTTGTACCAATCCCCAACGCCATAGTTCAAACATTGCAAAAAATCAATTAAACCAATAGAAGTAAGGGGTATTTTCTGAAATGTTATGATATTCGTAATCAGCATGCTCGATTACCCCCGTGTGCCAAACCCCAGCCCCGTAGCTTGAACCATGCAAAAAAATCGATAAATTGATGAAAATAACTGATAATTCTAGAAGCTATGTTGTATTCGTAATCAGCATGTTCGCTTGTCCTCCTGTGCCAACTCCCAGCCCCATACCTTCGATACATAGAGCCACGTACACTGGTAACCTTCACTTTGAGTGTCATGAGAGGACACAACCTTCACCTGGAGAGGAGTACAAGTCATCCGGGGCGA